TCCAACTCTATTATTCTATTCTATTCTATTCTATTCTAACCTTGAATAGAACAGATATAAATCTTACATGTCACTTCATCATATCTCCTGACAAGATGGCTGACTCCTCCCCAGAACTTAGTGATTGATCTCATCGAAGAGCTGCTCTACTTTGCTAATATGATATTCAGACTTTCCCCAACCTAGTTGCCCTCTTAGGCCCTGCATTCTGGCTGGTTCTCCTAAGAGTGCTGCCAAATTGCAATTTGAGGTTGCTTCCTCCCACCCCCTCTCTCACAAGCCATGGCCGATTTTACTGTCCTCTTTCAATTTTTGCTCTTAAAATAATTTGCTCTGCCTCGGGTACATTAAGCAGATTTGTAGGCGTCACCTTTTGGGAACACGAGAGAGGTTTCCTAATGTAAGAGATGAAAAGGTCTTCTACTTGCCCATTGTTGTAGGTGACCTGAATTAAAATGGAGCTCTGGAGAAACGTTTCTTTCTCCCAGAGCAAGTTTAACTTGCTGAGCTGTGTAGCAATCTACAGGGATGTTATCCAGTTTTCTGACGGCACCCATAACTTTTTATCTTTCAGAAGCAGTGTGGCTTTCTCTGAACCATGATGGCAGAATCCCTGCCCTTTCCACTGGGCACACCAGTGCCCACCTGGGAATTGGAAGCCTGGTACCAGGACTTGCAGGAAGTGCTGTCCTCTGATGTATCCAACAGGGCAGACCCCTCTGGGGTTGAACAGGAGCAGGTGAGTCAGCTGGCTTTTCTTTGATGCTTCCAGGACTGCGGAGTCCTCCATTCAAGTGGGTGGTTGGGTTCTCTTATGGGCTGGCTCTACGTTGCTCTATTTTTGTATCCTAAATCTGCATTGGAAGGATGTAGCCACTACCATCAGTAACTGATCTTGTAATCCTTTAAAAACTGGCACATTCATTATAGCACAAAACCACGTTCCCCAGACAGGTGCCTTCCAGGTGTTCCCATAATTGCTCATGCTAGGCAGGTTTGGGGAGTTGTAGTTGTGCACACGCCTGGAAAACAACAAATAAGAGGAAGATGCCCTTGTATTTTATTTCATTTATGATTCCTCCCCTACATCAAGTGATGATCTGCAGACTTTTGTTGTAGAATGCTACAGTTGTTACGTTTTTCAAGCTAAAGTCTTAGTAATTCAAGTTAAAGTCTAAAGAGTTATTAGATGTATTTCAATTTAAAAAACGCCTTAGTAATTGTAGCTCCCTCAAGTCTTTCCAGGGTGGGCTTATAATCTAAGCTTGTGTGCTCAGAAGCCAATTGTAACCTTTCAGTAAATGTATAATTTGAGTAGTGGGTATATGGGATTGTTCTTTCTGGCTGCTTTCCACTATAAGCAGTGTTTCTCAACCCTGGCCTTTTAAGATGAGAACTTCAACTTCCAGAATTCCCCACTGAACTTGCACTGAACTCAGATTTAAGTAGGTAGGTACGAGTAAGATGGTTCTATTAAGTGTTTCATTTGAGCTTCTTTTGACTCCTGACTTTTCTGCCATGGCTCCTACCCTGTGGAACATCAGTCACCCCCCACCCACTCATGCTGGTCCCAACCTGTTGGCCTTCCAGAAGACCCTCAAAACATGGTTTTTGCTTAAAAGAAGTTTTTAGTTGTGGTTTTAATGCATTTTGTTGTTATGTATGCTGCCAAGAGTTACTATGTGAGATGGGCAACTTATATAATCCACCTAGCCTTCTGAAAAGTCCTGAAGACTTGGTGTCCCCGTCCCCCCCAAACATTGGGATAGGATGAAGTGACTGCAATGTCAGAAGCTTGGTTTGGTGCCAGGTTTTTGTTTTTAACATTTACAGTTTTAATGTTTAATTCTTGATTGGGAGCCACCCTGAGTTTGGTCTAAGATGGGCAGCTATATAACAATTTTAAATAAATAGTGATAAATAAAAAAGGCAAAAGATGGTATTTTAAAAATGCACCATGCTAAATTTATAGCACTTATTGGTCAGTCATATGTTCAGAAGCAAGTCCTTCAATGCAATACTCACAATCTTCCAGAAGATTACTCAAATGTGAGATGGATAAGATATAAATGTAATACATGTCTTGATTTGTTACTGTGCTTGTTGAGGTGTGTGGTTTCTTAAACTCCATGTCATCTTAAGAAAACGCATGCGTACACGCTTAGAAATGATTCTTTCCTTAGAAATCTAAAAATTCCACAAAGACCCTGTCAAATAATGCTGGGAAATTTTAATTAGACGGGGCTGGTATGGGATATTTCTTTTATAATACCAAATTTTAATCTTCTTAATCTTCTTCCTGTCCTCTTTCTAACTCCAAGAGCATAAAAATGCAAATGGAGGCAAGGGCTTAATATCAACATGGCTGCAAGTATAAACTCTCACCTTCATTATCTTCTATCAGCCACCAACCTGGTTAAAACTCATCGTGTGGCAGCTTCCAGCTACACTACTAAGTGTGAAATTTTGGAATAGGATCCCCCTTTATCTCCAATCACAAGAGCCCCTTGCCTCAGGAATAAACCAGCAGTCCTTGTTTAATTATCACAATTGGGCTCGGTAGATCTCTCATTAAGTGAAGTGAAACTGACTGTACTTATTTTATTTCAGCTTTTCTTTGCTTTACATGCAAAGGTTGTAAATGGGAGGACTAGTCACAAAGTTACTTTTTCATCGTTGTAACTGAATGGTCGCTGTGAGATGGTCGCCAAACAAGCACTGCCTGTACTCTTGACACTATATTGCTAGGAAGCAATAGACATGGCTTGGCTACTCTGCATTTGGGAGGTGTCGTTTTTTTGCTGTCAGATGATGCAAGTTCAGTAACCAAAGAGATTTGTTACTTTGGCAATTTGATATCGAGGTGAGGTGGCGCAGTGGTTAAATGCAGCACTGCAGGCTACTTCAGCTGACTGCAGTTCTGCAGTTCGGCTGTTCAAATCTCACCGGCTCAGGGT